GAAAATATTAAAAATATTAAAAGAAAAAAATCCAGAACTATTTTCACATGTATTACTAGAACAGGCTACTAGAGGGAGCCAGAGACTGTGCTGTGAATGCTTGTTAGTGAAGAATACATAGCATGGTCTCTGCTTCTGGTAACGCGTGTGAAAATAGTTTTTCAGGATTTTCCCCCTTTTACCATGGTACAGAAAACCACGGATAATAGTGAACACTGGAACCAATCCCCAGTGGATGTGGGGGTCCTACTGCATTTAATCCTTAGACAGAACACAGAATCTGACTGATTAAGTTGCTCTTAAAGAGTAGCTCCTCTTTGTCTCTCTAACAGAACTGAACTAAACGTTTGGGCGTTTTTCTCAATTCACCTGGGTTCATTTTGGCAATATTTATTAGCATGGACTGCATTTAGTTTTCCCTGTCTAGTAGTCCATCCAATTAGGTTCTGTGCCGATAAACACACAAAGGACTGGGCTCCCCATGCGCATGTCAACACTGGACCAGAAATGACTTGCTTTTACCATGTCACATTTAGGCATTTTGATACGTGTACATTTTCTCCTTAGCTATATAGTGTCTAGGATTGGATTCTGGAGTTAGGAGAAATGAAAATGACGACGACAACAAATCATTTATTTCTCTCTTCTTCCATCGTTTTTAGGAAGAGACCCTTGGAAATGAATGGGCCATTCTGGCAAATGAGAGGGACATGGGTCATTTGTGTTCCTCTCGTTCATTGTCTTCATTCAATCCCCTGTGTGTAAAATCACCTCACACAGATATTCCAGCAGCCCGCCTGCCTTGCGCTGCTCTCTCCTGCTCCCTCTCCTCGCCTCGCTGCAGCTGCTGCCTTGTACCACCTTGCCCAGCTAGCATTTTCCAAATGGGGAGAAGCAAACCGAAGGGATCTAAAAGAAACACACACACACGCACACCTTTTGTGTGTGTGTGGCCAACAGAAATGGGCATGAACCACTGGTTCATAGGTTTGGCCTGGTTTATTTACCGCCACACGTTTGGCGTTTCAGTGTCCTGCCCCCTCCAGCAGGCACCCCCTCAGAAGCAGCATCCCGGCTTCCCTGCCTCACGTCCTCCGGGCACCTGCTTCTGAACGGGTGCCTGCTGGAGGGGAAGGGGTGCCGAACTGCCAAACACCTGTTGTGGCAGTATGTAAATCGGGACCAACTGCCAAACTGGCGGTTCATGTCCATTTCATGTGGACAATCAAAGAGAGGTGCATCGGAGAGCCAAAAATTGAAGAGAAACAAAACAAAATGAACATCCCTGCCATGCACATCTCTAAGAGGGATGTCACACCTAAGGGGAGGCATGTGGTTTAGGTAGTCCTTGGTTAGCACCGGTGTCCTCTTTCAATAACTACATAGTATTTTCTGGCAAAGCTTTTCTCACACTGTCGTCTTCCACATGAGTTATACAACAAGGCCCATCAAACCTACCCAGCATAATCCATAGCTGTTCCAGATATGGATGATGGGAGTTGTGATCCAGCCTGTGTGAAAGCACCAGGCAAATGGATGGCCTAACACAAGATAGCCAGTGAAATACTGGAATGCAAGCCAGTAACACATAAGGGTCCGGATGTATTCCCTACTATTATATTGTTTTCCCTCCAAACACATAGTTCCTTCAACCCTCTGTACCTCAGCAATCAGGCTTGCAAATGAATCCCATATGACCAATCACAAAACAAAAGCAAACTAATCATCAACATACACAGAGAGGCAAGCCCATGCTGAAATAAACATATATTTTTGAAAAAAATCTCCACTTCTAATGTATTAACTGCTTGACCCTAATAATCTCTTCACATATAACATTTTGTATTGAAGAACCAATTCCTAAATGCCAGCTGCAACTCATATATTCATGGCAGCTATGACTGTTCCTTACCTCATTTGTATCGCATGAAGATTTAGTGGGCAAAAGTACCCCTTCAATTGCCAAAAACAGCTCTTTATATGTAGAAGGCACACATGTCATGAAGAAGTACTGTATTCAGCTTAGTCTTTTCCCTTATATGTTTTTTTTCCCTTCCTGAAGGGAGGTTTTCCCTCCCTCTGCCACGGAAGAGCATTCAACATGCAAATCTACTAAACCAGGACAAAACTACCGCTTGACTCTGTGCTGAATGTCTAAATTGCAAATCACCCAGTTTGCCAGAAAAAGGCACAGCAGAGTTGGCAAAAAGAAGGTCCCCACCTGTTTGTATTCCACACAGCTAGGGCTGTCATTAGGGGAATGGGACAAAGTATCGTCTATCAGTGGGTCTGCCGGGGGTCCTGAAGAACGTACCTCAGTGTGGGTGGCAGTGCTCCAACCCAGCGTGGGCTGGCTGGGTCTAGCCCAGACCTGGGCAAAGTGCGGCCCGAGGGCCACATATGGCCCACGAGCCACTCCTGTCCAGGCCACGGACAGCTTTGAACATCAAAACCATTTATAGCTTTTTGTCTAAAGTTGATCAGTTGCTTATCTTTAACATGCCCCAAAAAACCTCTTTAGTATTTGTGAAGATTAATAAGTTTAAAATAAAAACTATTATAACATCACTGTTTCATTTTATTTTTAAGTAAAGTAGGTTCGGCCCCAGAACACAGTTCAGATTTTTCATGTGGCCCCCCTATAGAAATTAATTGCCCACCCCTGGTCTAGCCACTCCTTGTTTTCCCACAAAAGCCTAGATAGAGCCATACTAGGCCAGAGGCAATACAGGAAACAAAAAACATACACAAATGCATTTGGCAAATTGTCTTCTGTACATGTGTTCTGTATTCAGGAATCAGTTCCTCAGCACAAAAGTGTCTTAATAACGTTACCTAATTCAGGGCAGGCAACAGTGGCTCTTGAGAGGTTGTTCAAGATTTCAGAATCTGTCACCACTAGCTATGACAGCTAAGATTGGGGGGGAGAGAGAGTCTTTGAATGAAAAAAAAAATCCAGGAGGCCATAGTTCTTCAACTCTGATCTAAGGAGATAAACCATATGGTGGATGAAATCCTGTTCACACAGCTATATTGCATAAGGGTGGTGACATCATCAGCTGCAGCACTATTTCAGGAATTTAAAAAATTCTAATTTCCCCCACCCAGAAGGTCCCAAGGCTCCTGTGGAATCACTTTTGTTGTGGGGAAACCATTGACGACAGTGGGGAGATTTGAATTTTCAGAATCACCACTGCTGGACATCTTCCTGCATCCCACAACAGCTTCCTCAAAACAAAACAAAACAAAACAAAAGGATTCCACAAGACTTTTAAGACCCACAGTAGGGGAAGGGAAGATTGGAAATGTTTCATTTCCAAAAAAAACATAAGGCTGATAGCATAGCTGCATCAACAAGATTTCAGGTGGACAGATGGACAGTTGGATCTACAGACCTAGTAACTAGGTAGAGAAGAAGAGACCGATGCACTTTTTGTGCCCCAGAAGACTCGTAGAGAAGATGTGCTAACTGGAAGTTTGGGCCAGCGAGAACATCATGAGCTTACATTCGGACCTACAGACCTAGTAACTAGGTAGATAAGAAGAGACAGATGCACTTCTGGTGCCCCAGAAGACTCATAGAGAAGATGTACTAACTGGAGGTTTGGGGCCAGCGAGAACATCATGAGCTTACATTTTATATGTGCATGTTCTAATGAAAAGAGACAGCCACTGAGTCAACAGAAGCTTTATTGTGTAGATAGTTGATGGATCATGATAATATAGAACAAAAGGAAGCGGACACCTTCATACACTGGAGAGCTTCTGAATTTAAGTGGTCCTGTTGCGTCAAGGCCTCATGCCACACAGGTGGTGAACACTCCTTCGCTTAGTAGAGGGGCTACAATGACTCAGGACGCTCAAAGAGTTTTTATGGCTTACTATCCCCATGTTGAAACTGGCAAGGAGGAATAGAACACAATAGCTGTCCAGGGAAGGAACACTGTTAATGTTTTAAATAGACGAGCATGTTATCGCCTTGAGAAGATAAGCTACTCTTAAGCTACTCTTAGAACAAAAGGTTTCTGAGGGTGCAAATCAGATGGACATTTAGCCCACTGTTTGGTCTGCTGTGGCGAAAGGCTAATTTGCTCTTTTTCCCAGTGATCACTGATCACGTGGCATAATCACTGGTGCAGACCAGCCCATCCCCCAGTGTTCATACCATCACTTTTCTGGGAGAAAGGCTAATTTGCTCTTTTTTCCAGTGATCACGTGGCATAATCACTGGTGCAAACCAGCCCATCTCCCCAGTGTTCATACCATCACTTTTCTGGGCCCTTATCAAGGGCTTCTCTTTTGGTGTGGATATGACTGCTCCATTTTGGCTGGTTTCCAAATCTATTGGTGGATTCGGCTGCAGCAGATTCTTGGCTCAAACTTTAAGACAAGTGTCAAAGAAATAAAAAAGGGGGGGGGAACGATCCTTCCGTCTGTCTCCTCCCACTTCTGGCAGGAAGTTTTCTCATTTTCTATTTTTTTTAAAATAAGTAATGCAGTGCATCAACACTGCCCTAATACAATCTTTAAAAAAAAATCACTTGCTCTGCTCCTCTGCAGAGCAGAGGAAGTGTTTAATTTCCCAATATCCTGAATTGGCTGCCTTAAGCTGTTTCACAATATGGGAAACTCCCAATGGGAGGAGGCTGACTAATAGGTTCATTTGAGGTTCATATGCCTTTTGGATGCAAAAATGACACCAAATGGTGTACCAGACCTCTGTCCAACCCCAGGCAAACCATATTTAGCCTGCTCCAAAAGATCCCCTGTAGACAAGCCCTAAGATTCTATGTGAAGTTTCTTTCTGTGCTCACACCAGCACTAAGCGGGTGACATGACATTCATGACATAGGATATAACTATATTTTATACAACAAATTTCCCCTCCAGTACAGAAGGAATGAAAATTCTAGGCCTAGAGTGGTTGGAGATCTGTAATGAGTTGGGGGGTCTGCAATACACACTGGCACCTGACACCATTTTTTCCACCAACCCAACAGATCCCCCAGATCAGCTATGCCTCCACGGCACCCGAGCTCAGCGACAGCAACCGCTACGATTACTTCTCCCGTGTGGTGCCTCCTGACTCTTACCAGGCCCAGACCATGGTGGACATTGTAAAAGCCCTAGGCTGGAACTATGTCTCCACGCTGGCCTCTGAGGGCAACTATGGTGAAAGCGGTGTTGATGCCTTTGTCCAGATCTCCCGTGAGGCTGGTAAGTAAGGTTGCCAAGACTCAGGGGACTGTTTGAAGTCACGAGGAATTGTTCTGCTTCTTCTGGAGTCCAGGTAGAGACCAGTCTCAGGGCAACCTGTGCTGGGAGAAATCAGTTTGATTTTTGTTTGTGAAGTGGCTTAAAAGCTGGTGCTCAGTATGAAGGACGTTGTGTGTGCATATTGTTCCAAATGGCACAACTGCCCAAATGCCTTGCACCCACAGTATGCTTTTTGACACACAGATGTTGACGGCCCATTCTGCCATTCGGAGAAAGGCAAGGATTGGATTGCCAGCCTCCTAACTCCCAAGCTTTCTTGTTGCACAAACCCTTGTAAGCAATGGCACAACAACTGGGGAAGGTGTCTCTCCTCCCAGCTCTTGCCCTCCTCCCTTCACTGTGGCACAAGAGGGACACACTCCTTGGTCTCAGGATTTGTTCCTGGATTCTCAAGGAATGAGGGATGCTGAAGCCACAACTCTGCTGGTAGGAGAAGGGTCACCTGACCACGGGGCGGTGGTTGAGGATGTCAGCAGCAGCCCTGTGATCTCACAGAGGTGGTGCAACCTGCAAAATTGCAATCGGCAAGTGCAGTGAAAAATAGAAGCAGGTAGGGCACAGCTGGGGTTTCAAAGGCAAACCTCTTACAGGTGCAATTACGCATGTCATGTTGAAGTCCTTGTGCACTGAAGGATCACAGGAGCAGTGAGGGGGGAATTGTTCAGAAGAAACCATGCCTTGAAAACAGTACTCGCTGGAGCCACAGTTGTTGTCCAAAGCCAGCAAACAAAAAGTACCATGCCCAAACTCTAGAATAAACATCATGGAAGAGCATAGAGTGGACAACCCATAACCTAGTGGCTGTGTGGAGCCTCCCACCCATGAGTTTTTATTTTGTTTGCAGCCACTGGGCCTCTCCCAGACCCTCAACTCACTGGAAAATATTTTCTTTGGCCAGATAAGGAGAGTTGCTCTCTCTATATATCCCAAAGACCAGTGATTCTCTTATAAAATGAGGTGTAAGGGTATCCACATCTTGTTTGCCCCACCCTCAAGCTCCAGAAAGGGGTTGCAAAAGTGGAATTGACTTCCAACCATTTCTATTTATTTTCCTTTTCACAACTTTTTTTTGAGAGAGAGGTGCAGCCCACAGCAGGTGTCGCAGAGCAGAAAATTGTCCTCTGGATCTGTGGAGCATGGTCACCTAGAGAATATAGGGTTAAGGTAGCCATAGGCTGGCTCCTGGTGCAGATGCATAAGAACCAGACCTCTTGTCTGCTCCTTGGCCTGTCGAAAAGACCACTGTTTATCCAGCAGTTGGTCTTGTCTGGCATTTTAGGAGGGGCCATCATTGTGTTTTTATTCCCCAGCGTTCAATTCTCTTGCTCGGTGTCATGATCCTCATCTTCAGCACCAGCTAGGTCTCGGAATCAAAGGAGGAGAGGCCAGTCAGACTCAAATCTCCAGTATTTTGAGCAGACATGCAGGATCCCACACAGAACCCAGATCTGGCAGGCAAGAGCCTTGGAATCTGGGCAGTGATACTTGATTCCAAGCCTGAGGATGGCTCCTTTAAGGACTTCCATTCTCATCAAAGAGGCGAAGCCTAAGGGTTCCTGCTGGGTCAGGGGCTTCATGAAAGTTCAAATAACCTTGCAATAGTGGGGAATCCGAAAAGTGAGGTCCCTGGAATTGGTCACATACCAATGTTTTATTCTTCCATCTTCATCCTGTGGAGCTTGGAGTGCCCCCAGCTTCTGCCTGCAAACACACACATCTGTAGACACTCTGTGCACAATATTAGTAGTTTCTGAGAAACCTCTTCCTCCCCCTCTACCTTCCTACAGCTCCTCAGATTCCCTTCTACGCAGCACTTTCCTGAGCTTTATGGACCTTCATCTCTTACAGTCTCCAGTCACTGAACGGGAGAATCAAGTTGCTCATTGGCCAAGTGGGAAACCCCTTCATGCGGCATCAGACCTATAGGCCAGATGTTTCCTTGCCCAGGTTTAGAGAACAATTTCCAGCTTGATTTGTCTTCCATAAAATTCACATGAGTATTACATAGGATTCAGCAATTTTCTGAGTCTCACCCAGACAAGACTTTGTGCCAAGGCTTCTCCCGCCCCACATACAGCCTGTTATACATTCTTGTGATTTTCATCTTCCTTTTTATTTATTTATCAGCCCACCCTTTTTTTGCCTGTTCTGCACAGTAAACTGTCAAAGCTTAATGCCCTTCCTATTCAACTCTGTTCAGGGAAGATTCCATTCTGTGCAAGAATTGTAGCAAATGTGTGTAGCTTAATATTGTTCAGGGATTTCAGAAGAAACCCTTGCAGGAAAGATGCCATCCTGCATAGTAATTGCAACTATTCTGTGCAGTTTGGTGTTTCGTCTGCTCTTTCCAGGTGATTCCCCTGCATGAATTAGAACAATCTAACCTGACATTTCTTCCAGAAAAAAAAGCAACCCGAAATGTGTGAAAAAATTGTGAGATTTCCCACCAGATTTCATGGAGGAAGGGGAGTCCCACAGAGAGAAATTTCACTGCAAAGAAAAAAGAGTGACTTTTTTTCTTTGTTTCTGAGTGAGTGTGGAACTGTGAAATTCACATCCTTATATTTCACAGGCATGCTCTAAGGCAGTTTTCCAACTTCCAGTAAGCCAGGTATTCTTGGACTGCGACTCCCGGAATCCCGAGCCAGCAGAGCTGATGGTGAAGACTTCTGGGAATTGCAGTCCAATCCAAGATTGGGAACTACTGTTCCAGTGTGTGTATAGGTCATACAAAATGCTGGACAAGCATTTTGGGGCTCTCTGTGGTCTCCCATGAACACAGAGCAGCACACATCCATCTAGGACAACATTTGCACTCTGAATGTCATAGGCTCACCAGGATATCAGAGAAAAGGGCGGGGATCTTTCCTGTCACTGGCTAGTTGATCCTTGGGAGTTCAATGTTATGGTTTCTATAGGCAAAGGAAGGGTTCAGTTCAGCAAGCCATGGGTTCTCCTGATCACTTCCAACAGTCCTCTTGTATTTCTTAGGTGGAGTATGTATTGCCCAGTCCATCAAGATCCCACGAGAACCTAAACCGGGAGAGTTTGACAAACTGATCAAGAGGCTGATGGAGACCCCCAATGCCCGGGGCATCATCATCTTCGCCAATGAGGATGACATCAAGTGAGTGTGCCATTGGCTGCAATCCCATACAAAACATTCTGTTGTCTAGACTCATGGGAAGGGTTGCGGGAGAGAGATCCTAATGCTTATGACACCCCTATGCTCTCTACAGGCGAGTGTTGGAAGCTGCACGCATTGCCAATCTGACGGGGCAGTTCTTATGGGTTGGTTCTGACAGCTGGGGCTCCAAGATCACGCCGATTCTGAGGAATGAGGAGGTGGCTGAAGGAGCTGTTACAATTTTACCCAAACGAGCCTCCATTGAAGGTAAGAAGGGCACCGAGCCCTCAGACCAGCCATAGTGATGGGGGCGGGGGAAGGGAAAAGGTGCCATGTATTCTTCCCTGGGCAAGAAATTTTGGGGAAATGGAACCTCAAATGAACCACAGTTATTCCTGTTTGTTTATTTGCACTCACAGAGCCTTCCTAATAAGCTTAATTTGTAAAGAGACTATCCACTCTTAAACACTGCTCCTTAATTACTCTGGTTGTAAATATGAAAGGCTATTACAGGGTATTACTGTGGTATCTAATCCATTTTAAGGAGAGCCTGAGTCCATGATTTAATACACTTAGAGCCACATTTCATGTGGCAGAAGAAAGGGCAGGCTCTTCCTTACATTTTTCTTTCTGCAATAGAGATACATTTTTAAACGCCTACAGGTCAAGCTGCTGTTAAAGTACTGGCACAGAGGCTAGTGACAAGATGGGCAACTTCCTAGGAGTGGGCCAGAAAAACACTTGGACTCCTCCACACTCTCTCACCTATCTTCTTTCCCTTCTGCCATGAAGGTTTCGACCAATATTTCACCACACGCTCCTTGGAGAACAATCGGCGCAACCTTTGGTTTGCTGAGTACTGGGAAGAAGACTTCAAATGTAAACTGACCCGTCCCGGGATGCAGCCTGAAGAGGGGATACGGAAATGCACCGGTATGGACACTCCAGATGTGAGGTGCCACCAGGGGTGGCAGGAGGGTTGGAAGCTGGAAATGAGGGAATTTAGGAAGCAGCCTTATCCTGGGGTCAGACCCCTGATCCATCCAGTCCTGTGTCATCAGCTCTGACTGGCAGAAACAGCTGCCCAGTTTTCAGGTAGCATCCTTTTCTAGCTCTACCTGGGGAATCTCTGGTGGTCTCCCATCCGAATAATATCCAGGCATGATCATGCTTAGGTTCTGAAACTGATATGAGATTGCTGTGTTTAGGGTGCTATGATGATGCTGTGTCTACCATCCCAGTCTAGTTTATCATGACTAGTTCCTTCCATTCTGGCAGAGCCAGTTGCAGCATTAGACTGATGGAGGCAGCAGATGCAGAGCTTAAAAAGTTACTTGTAAAAGGTAGTTTCTTCCTATTACCTCTTACAGTGCCTATCAAGGAAACAATAATCATTGCTCCTTCCAGGGTCTGAAAAATTACTTGCTCCATGGCTTATTCATTTTTCTGTTGTTGTTTTTGCTACTTTAAAAAAAAACACAATTTATAAATGACAAAACACTTGAAAAAATTCTGACTAGTCATCTCTAAAAAATGCCCTTTAACATCATTTGTTTAAAAATAACTACAGTATTGCAAAATATTGCCTACTACACTCTGTTTATTGTGGCACTTTTGAAATGTGGTCCTAAGCTCTGGAGTGATGTTCTGGGGTATGGAATAAGTTAAGAGTTGTATGTGTCCAGGACATGCTGTGCACCCACTAAAATGCACTGCCGCTCTCTGGTTCTGTGTTACCAGTGTTGAAATAAGCTTCGACGGCCAGTCAATAGTCTGGCTGGCTTTTGTATGTAGAATTTGGGGGTAAGGGCAGAATGGCAGAGGGGACAGAATGCCATGTAACTCTGTGCCTCAGGCAACAAAATATTTTGGGCCAACTCTGCGTCCTGGTTGTCTTCTAATCCCTCATTTTGGGAGAAGGCAGGAAAAAATGTTATCAGGGAGCTGCAGGGGACTGGGTTCATTTCACAGCTCTGCAGGGAACAGAGATTAGGCTTTCAAAGTCTCTCCTTGTAAAAATACAGACAGAAAAGCATCACTTGCACCCCTCTATGCAACACTTTCCTCAGAACAAACAAACAAACACACACACACACACACACACACAAACCAAATTCACCCTCCTCCTTGCTGCTGTTGTGTCACTTAAACACTCTTGACTGACCCAGGAATAATCCAGATTCGAATCCAGGCCTCCTGTTCCATCTCTCAAGGCCTCCGCGTCCCATTTCTTCCCACCTTCTCGTCAGTGGTTTTGAGTTGCCTGCTGCACATTGCCGGACGCACTGAAAATGAGTGTCATTCACTCTAAATTCTAACTGTAGCTGAGATTGATCAGCCTAATGGATTCTCTACCCAAATTATGCATCTTTATTTTAAAGAAGGGATTATGTTAATACATTAAGGCAACCTGGCTAAAAAAAATATCCAACAGGAATTGGTAACCAGCCAAAAACTTTACTAGTCCTCGTACCCACTTACAACTGTAGGTGCAACTACACTGGAAAGGTGATTTGATTTGCAGCTTTGTTAGCTATATGTGGCCTTAAAGGGGTGGAGTGGAGTTTTCCTACCTGTCATCCAGGAGGCAGTTTGTACTCAAAACAGAAAACTAAAAGGTGGAAGAACCAGATGTTTTGAATGACAAATCCCATAATTCCCTATCTCTGAGCATGTTGCCAGGGGCTGAAATCTAAAACATCTTGAGTATCAAAAGACCTTCTTCCTCTATTTTCCTGTATGAATTAAGCATATGGCTGTAGAAAGAGTGAGGAACCTCAGGCCCTGGTGCCACATCCAGTCCTCTAGGCTTCCCCAGATGGCTACACCCTCTTCCCATGACACCGTAATTATCCAGCTTTTGAATGGGGTTTTCTCCCACACTAAAAGTTTCCCAAGTTTTATTTACTGCTGATGACTTGAACTAAAATATGCAGAGGTGGGGGAGGTTCTCCCATTATTTCACCTTCCGATCTACCCACCAATGGCCTATGGCCCGCAAGAACACCTCGGAAACTGAAGCTATATTCTTTGGTCTTAAGGCAGTTCCCTCCCTTGGTCTATAGGTACAGACCAGGACCACCAAAGTTGCATTTCTCACTCAACCACCTCTTGGAACACACACCGCCTTGGCCATGAGAGGATGGGATTCAGGGTTTAAAAAATCGGCAAAAATACAGTACTGTATATAGAAAAAAGATTCAGCTATAACGGTATAGATTGATTCACAAACCAAAGTATATTGTAGATAACTTGTAAATAAAATAAAGTACAATAAAAGCAGCAGCATCTTGGAACTGCAAGGGGCCCTACGAATTGGCAAGTTCAGCCCCTTGGAGGGAAGCACAGTGGAGAAGTGAACTCCCAGTCGCTGGTTCTGTAGCAAGATGCCTGAACCAGCAGTTCTACATAGTAAATTACCACGTCAGGGCTAAATTACCTTTTATCTCAGTCAGTTTTATTTTGCAGCATGATAGCAGATGCAGCTTGGGCTTCTGCACAGCTTGTTTTCTGCAAAATAAAACTGGCACAGTTAAGATAACAAGTAATTTGCTGCTGTTGTGGTAACTTATTTTTTTTAAAAGTTAAATACACCACCCTTTTTTTTTATAAATCTCCCTATACATTTATAACTGAATCTATTCTCTATTTGCTGGGGTTTTGTTCTCTTTTATGATGTTTATAAGCTGCTTTAATCCCTATTGCATTTTGGAAAGGCAGGGTAGGAAGATAATAATTTTTAAAAAAATCTAAATTTTCAAAATAGCACAAATTAAATCAACATTAAAGCAACAAATAATAAAACTCTAATGGACAGCAATGTTCAACACTGAAGCATCCAGCAAAGGTAAAACAAGAGATTAACCCTCCTCAGTTCTTAAAGTTGTCCAGGGATGACCTTCTCTTGGTCTTGATACCTTTACAAGTACATTTGACAGGGCTGTATGAGCGGGCCTTCTCAGTGGTTGTTCTCAGGATATAAATTTCATCCCTGTTAAGGCTGGGTTGGCCTTCTCTCTCCTCTTCTTTCGGTGACAAAGGAAAACATATTTATCCCAACAGGATTGTGATAATATCTGATTTTAACATAACTAATTGCCCTACATTTATTGCTAACATTTCCTTTTAACATGTTTTTAAATGTATTTGATATTTTCAATCTTTTTATATGGTGATTTTAACAATTCGGTTTAATAATTTCTAAATTGCTATTTGTATGTTGCTTTCAATTCTTGTTCTTCTGATGAATTGTGAGCTGCCTTGAGTCCAACTGTCGGCATAAAGACAGCAAGCATATCAATGCAATAAATAAATTAAATTGTTTGAAAGGGCCTCGTAAAAACAAACACAAATCTTTAGCTGGCACTTAGTAAGCCGGTGTCTGTGCCAGTGAGTCTCAGCACAAAAAGAATTCCACAAGACAGATGTTGCCGCTAATAAACATGGCAAGGAGGGGGTAGTAATGGGCAGGGAGCATTCAGAACTGTGAGGGACACTCTCATCTTCAGTTATTTTGTTTTCTGTTTCTTCGGCAACCACTTCTACTCTCCCTGCTAATATACCAGGAGAGGAGCGGATTGGGCGAGATTCAACCTATGAACAGGAAGGAAAGGTGCAGTTTGTCATCGATGCCGTCTATGCCATGGCCCATGCCTTGCACAACATGCACATGGACCTCTGTCCAGGCCACACTGGAGTGTGTGACAAGATGGACCCCATTCATGGACGTACCCTGCTGAACTACATCCTTGCCGTCAATTTCAACGGTAAGACTGGCAACCTGACCGGGGAAGCCTTGGGTTGCTTTGCTTGGCATTTCATGGAACATTTCATTTTTTATGGTGCGCAGTTGTGAATGAAACAAATAACAGTTACAGGGCTGCCTAGAGCGGCAGCTAAGGTGGAGTGACAGTGGGGGCAGTTTGTGAACTGAGCAATTGGGGTACCTCACCCCAAATTTGCAAGGGGATTCTCTGCTTCAGCCATGGGGTGGCTATGAAGACAGGTGACCAATCGTAACTCATTCACTCTCTTTCTGTGTCATGTTAGGGACCCAGAGCAGTAGTAAAGACTATCCTGGCCGCATAACTTGTGGCCTTCCAGGTGTTGGCCTGCAACTCCCTTTTTATTGTATTTTAAATGCTGTAAGCCGCCCAGAGACCTTCGGGTAGTGTGGGCGGCATATAAGTTAAATAAATAAATAAATAAATAAATAAATAAATAAATAAATAAATAAATAAATAAATAAGCCCTTATCATTGGCTGTGCTGGAGAGTAATGGTGGGAACCACAAGCTGCCCACTGCTGTTTTACATCTTTCCTTATAGAAGCAGTGCTGGCTCTGTGTTCAAATGCAAGATCCCAGTCCTTGACTATAGGGAGCTGGCATCACCCATAGCCTGAAGATATCACTATGGCAAGCTTATTTTGTTTGTAAAGAGAGGATTTATGGCCAGGAAACATTCTGATGTGGAATTTCCCCAGCCCACCAACAGCTTAAAATGGTATAATAAGAAACCCCTACTGGATTAGGCTGAAGACCTGTCTAGGCCAGACTCTTGGTGATCAACCAGAGGCCTCTAGAAAGCCCCCAAAGCAGGTAGTCGGCCTTTCCTGCTGTTGTTCCTCAGCAGCTGGTGTCAAAAGACGCACTGCCTGTGATCCTGGAGGCTGCATATAGCCATTGTGACTCAGGTGGGAGCAACCCTTCTCCTCCACAAATCTGCCTAATCTCCTTTGGCAACTATAATGAGTCCGGAGATGTGCCACCATGCCGTTTGTCACTCTTCTTCTCCTCTTACAGGCAGTGCTGGAACCCCCGTGATGTTCAATGAGAATGGGGATGCACCCGGCCGCTATGACATTTTCCAGTATCAGCTGACAAACACCTCAGCACCAGGGTATAGGGCCATTGGGCAGTGGACAGAATACCTGCGCCTCAACGTGAGTATCCAGCACCAGTGGTTTATTTATTTATTTATTTATTTAATTTATATGCCGCCCACACTACCCACGGTGACCAGAAATGGGGTGGGGGGTGGGGGTGGGAAATTGCTGGGAAGCCTGCATCCTCTGCAACCAAGCTCTTGCTTGTAGGGTTTCAGCCTGCCAAGCCTCTGGAATGCCAATTTGAGTTTGGGCCTGAGCACCCACCACAGCTGTTACATGCAAGATTGTGTTAGAACATATCCCTCCATAAATGGAGATAGCCTCACTACCAAGCATCCTAGGGTACCTGGCCAGGGCTCAAGTACCCAAGCCAGGCCCACCAATGATGGGCCCACCGCACTTTGGCTGGCCTGCCATTTTAAATTTACCCAGTGCCTTAGAATGATTTATCTTACATTGGCAATTTGGGAACATTGTGGGAAATTTAAAATTATGTCTCTTCAGGCAGGCTTTTCCTCAATAACTGGCTAAGAGAAGGTTCTCAAAAATGAGGCTATTTTTTGTTTGGTTAGGTTTTTTTTAAAATAGGTTTTAATGTTGTTTGTTTTAAAATTGTAAGCTGCCTTGAGTTCTTGAGGAGGAAGGCAAAGTATACATATTTTATATAATAAATATAATAAGTAGGAGGCATCTCACCATAGATACTGGTACTCTGTGTAGAAGTCTGTCATCATTGAATGCAACATAGGTCGTCCTACAATTAAAGTAAAAGTTGGAATCCAACACATGAAGAGCATGCAGTTATCAGGGCCATTATTTTTGGTCTTAGGCCACTCCTTTTCTGGACAAAAAGGTGTGGGGGGGGAGCCAAACCCCCAGAGGCCCCAGCGGCATGAGTCTCATCTAAAACAAGTGTTCTTGTTTTAGACAAACAAATGTTTTATATATTTTGAGGAAACGAGCTGATGCACTCCACAGCAAATCAGGAAGCTGACAGTAGAAAAAAAAATTCCCCAGACTGCCCAGAGTTGTCTGCTTTTCAACCACAGTCATGGCCAAAAATATTGGCACCCTTGCAATTCTGTCAGAAAATGCAACCCTTCTCTCAGAAAATGGTTGCAGTTGCAAATGTTTTGGTACTCACGTGTTCATTTCTTTGGTTTGTGTTGAAACAACACAAAAAACAGAGAAGAAAAGTTAAATCTAATAACAATCCCACACAGAAACCAAAAAATGCACTGGCCAAAATTATTGGCACCCTTTACTTAATATTTGGTAGCACCCCCTTTGGAGAAAATAAGTGAAATCAATCGCTTGCTGTAACCATGAATGAGTTTCTTAGACCTCTCTACTGGAATTTTGGACCATTCTTCCTTTGCAAACTGCTCCAGGGCCTTCAGATTTGAATGGATGCATTCTCCGAACACCAGTCAAGGCATCCAGTGCCAGAAGCAGCAAAGCAACCAGAAAACATATTTGACCCTCCACCATGTTTGACTGTAGGGACTATGTTCTTTTCTTTAAAAGCTCATTTCTTTTCCTGTAAACAGTGCCATGATGTCCTTTACCAAAAAGCTCTACTTTGTCTCATCTGTCCACAGTACGTTCTCCCAGAAGAATTTTTTTTGTCAGATAAGTTTTGGCATGCTCTAGTCTTGCTTTTTCATGCCTTTGTGTCAGCAGTGGTGTCCTCCTGGGTCTCCTACCATAGCGTCCCTTTTCATTCAGTCATGGTGACAGATAGTGCAAGCTGACACTGTTGTACCCTGGGTCTGCAGATCAGCTTGAATTTGTTTGGAGGTTAATGTGGGTTCTGTATCCACCATTCGAACAACCCTTTATTGTAATTTTTCAGTAATTTTGCTCTTCTGTCCACTTCCAGGGAGGTCAGCTACAAACCTCTTGATGATATTGTGCACAGTGGACACAGGAATGTTAAGATCTATGGAGATGGACTTGTACCTTGAGATTGTCAATGTTTTTCCACAATTTGTTCTCTCAAATCCACAGACAACTCTTTACACTTCATTCTTTTCTCCATGCTCAGTGTCACACACATCACAAAGGTTGTGTCAACTTTTCTCCGTCTTAACTGGTTGCAAGTGTGATTACTATATTGCCCACACCTCTTACTTGTGACAGGTGTGTCTAAATACAAATTAAAGGAGCATCCCATGCTTGAAAAGCAATTATTTCTTAAAATTTAGACAGGGTGCTAATAACTTTGGCCCACACATTTTTGGGTTTCTGTGTGGGATTGTATCAGATTTGACTTTTCTTCTCTGTTTTTTGTTGTTGTTGTTGTTGTTCCAACGCAAACCAAAGAAATGAGCATGCAAGTACTGAAACATTTGCAGCTGCAACAGTTTTCTGAGAGAAGGGTTGCATTTTCTGACAGAATTGCAAGGGTGCCAATATTTTTGGCCATGACTGTAAAAGCCCTGTTGTCTCCATAGTGTACCATCGTGCATGGGAGGCTGATTTAGCCATTGCAAAACAAACTCTGGAACTGAGGGTGTGAGCACACAAAAAAATAGATCACAATCTGGACTGCTTGTGGAGGTGTCTAGTACAATCTGTTTCCCAGCAATCACACGACGCACAGGGAAATGCATTCCAGCCCGACTCCAATCTGTGCCAAAGCCGGACTTTTTTTTGGTCCAGGTGTACTTTTGGGCAGGGGAGCGGCTGGAGATATTCCCCAGCAAACGAAAGGGTCATTTTAAGGGAGATCACATTAAAGCAATCCCTTAGGTGTGATCAGGCACATGGCTTCCCAGCCATCTGATCGCACCCGAAGACTCCCCTTGCCCACAGTGTCAAAGCCCACAAACAGCAAACATTTATCCATTGGATAATGTATTAATTCTTCCCATGCATTTCCACAATGGAGCTGATATGTCGGTTGTGGATGCTCTCCCTTGATTACCATCCAAAGGGATTACCAACCCGAAGTATTCTGACCTTACAGCCACACAGCAACAGCCTGTGTATTTCAATAAAGCACTAGAATGTTTTTTGTAATTTTTTTTGGGCTGCATTTAAATCATTAAAAGGCGGATCAAATAAGATAAAAAGAGGCTGTCAACAGCAGCTGTACTGAGTAAACAGTCCACATCAGATTTTGAAAAAAATGATCAAGGGACATGTTATGTTTAAAAAAATAATAAGAAGAAAAACAAAATACCACCAAAATAGAGGATCCTGTACCCCCTGGACTCTGTGGTAGCATAACTAAGACTGGGATACCTACACTGGGCACACCCCCAATAGAGGTCAGCATAGGCGCAGATTATGTAACATATTGATAGTTATTAACATTAATTATGTAAGATTCTTTTGCTCAGAGGCTTAGTGTGGAAAGCAGGCAGCGAGGCTGGATAGCATAGTTGCTACTTCTGTTTGACTCTACGCATAGCTAACGCTCATTTTTAAATTGTCATTTTACTTGTTGCTAAAAAAATTTTTAATTTTTTTTCAAACACCTTTCAAAGGCCAGGATCCCCTTCCCTAAGCTCAGAGTAGAAGGGAAAGTGTGTCGTTATGTTCTCCCCTCCAGCAGTCTTCCAATAGCTTGATTTGTTTCTCAACCCATCTTGCAACCAGTGCACAAAAAGGCATGCACCAAGGAGCTTTTCAGAGCAGGGTCAGGGGGATCTTTCATGAGGGCCCTTTTGCTCCACATTTAGGAAGGAGGATCCTGGCTCAAGTGCTGTACGTTGATATTTAAAGACATCTCTGCAGAATAGTGTTGCACATTGGTTGCAGAAGACTTTAATATATAAAGATAAGCCAGGTTGTGATTTGTTGATTTCTCACTTGTTGCTGTGTGCAACCCTACCCCTTGTTAACAAACTACAAGGGGCCAGTTGCAAAGCACAATTCATTTCCATGGTTTGCTGTTGGCTTATAAATTCTGGCTTGTTTAAACCATGGTTTGACATTATGTCTGAATGAAGAAACATGGCTTATCTCTGATTTGTTTGTACTGTTTTCTGCCATGAAACAATAACTTAAGAAAAGAAGGGAGGAAGCTAATTAGAAATTGAGAAAACATATTTGTCATTTGTTTGGCTGTCTAGGGATCAGCTATTTGTTCGGCACCCCCACCCCCCAAACTCTGAAAAGCTTTTTGGTGCATGCTAAAGCAACAAGATGTGACTAACATAAACCACAGCTTACTGTGCTATGCAGGTGCAACAAATACCATTTTTGGTGGGGAAAACTGATGCTACTCCCCCCAAAGAAAAAATGATGGATGCATTTATTTCGATTGTGAATTCTGTCAGAAATATGTGTCTTAGGCACCTCCAGAATTATGTCTCTGACATCACCTATTTTTGAGGGACATCTACAGAGAAGGGCCATGAAATGCGAGCCCAGTTGTGATGGGCAAGAGAACGTACATGCCTCTGAGGTACCAGAGTTGATGTAGTATAGTCAATTATTTACTGCATTTTTACAGGGCTGTTAACTTTTAAATCAGCTATGAGAGTTACTAAGTGACTTTTGGACAGTTGCTGTCTTAACATTACAGGAACATTGTAAGGACACAGTGGATTGGTATCCAAGAACACATCCCTGTATTCACTACAAAGAATCAGAGGACACTAATGTGATAAATGAAAACAGGAGTTATGGAAAGAACCATACCATTTCTACAACTTTGCTCTGGAAATTTCTAAAGACATAATTTTTCAAATGCCAAAACCCTGTTGCTTCGCATAGTAAATGAACTAGAGTAGACCCATTGAATCAGTGGGAATCTGGTAAATCAATTCCTCCATATGTTCTGTGACCTACTTTAACATAGGAAGTCATAGTTAAAGTAGGCCCCTGTGAATCAATGGAACTTATGGAGGAGTTGGCTCACGAAATCCCCATTGATTCATTGGCCCTACTCTAATTTGATTTGCTGTGCTCAAAGTAACAGGATTTTGGCCAGAGTCTTGTGGCAGATTTAAAATACTAAACATTTTATTTGGTGTTAGATTTTATGGGAAACAACCCACTTTTTCAGTGGCATAGAATACAATATTTAAGCAACAGGCTTATATATATACTGGGATGTGACAGAATGACACACGGTATGGAAAATGACAATTTTATTGTTAAGTCTTGTCATAAATCTTCAATGGACTGGTTAACATAAACATCTAGGTCAGTAGTTCCCAACCTTGGGTAATCCAGGTGTTCTTGCACTGCAACTCCCAGAAATCTCAGCCAGCACAGCTGCTGGTGAAGGCTTCTGCAGTCCAATAACAATTGGGTTACCCAAGGTTGTAAACCACTGATGTAGGTAATCCAGGATTCCACAGGTCAGTTAAGGCTAATGCAACGTTATTGGCTTGGCAGGGAGTGTTTATTAAGGCACAGTTCGTGTGTTTTGTTTGACAGTCCTGTTTGAAAAATGATTTATGCTATATACACAGACAAACCTGGACTAACTTTTCAGGAATACCTTTAAGATACAATGCTGCACATCTTATCTGTCATGGATTCTCCTTCCCTGGGTATTATAAAGGATTTTGGAGCACATTCTAAGATGCCTTCTGTTCATGACCAACTTTTTTGGACTGCCATTCCCAAAATCTGTCATGACGCTTGAGGGATTCCAGGAGTTCTAGTTCCAAAAAGTAATTCTTCTAAGCCCTGCTTAGTATGTCTCCTCCTCAGCCTCGTGTGAACTGAAAGCCTGCACTGGACCTTGCCTAAGGCTCCCCCTAAGGCTATGTCCTGCAGGGGAAGCTGAGTCTCCCTGGAAGCAAGCTGTGTCTCAGGGAACCATTTCCTTCAAGACCAATCTCCTCACTGAGGATCCCCTGGCCAGTTCTGAGGGAATTCTTGAGCTCTGAAATGTTTATAAACCCTCTCCTCAATATCTTTATTTGTGTCTCCCTTAGATTGAGGACATGCAGTGGTCCGGTGGCCAGAAGGAGATCCCCACATCCGTCTGCAGCCTCCCCTGCAATTCGGGCGAGAGGAAGAAAATGGTGAAGGGGGTGCCTTGCTGCTGGCACTGTGAGCTGTGCGATGGCTACCAGTTCCAACTAGATGAGTTCAACTGTGAAATGTGCCCCTTTGACATGCGGCCCAACCCCAACCGCACAGCCTGCCGGCCCACACCCATCGTCAAGCTTGAGTGGAGCTCCCCCTGGGCGGTGCTTCCCATCTTCTTGGCCATCATGGGCATTCTTGGCACCACCTTCATTGTCATCACCTTCATCCGATTCAACGACACGCCCATTGTCCGCGCGTCTGGCCGCGAGCTGAGCTATGTCCTACTCACCGGGATCTTCCTCATCTACTCCATCACATTCTTGATGATCGCTGAGCCTGGCGTTGGCGTCTGTGCGCTCCGGCGTCTCTTCTTGGGCTTGGGCATGGCCATCAGCTATTCTGCCTTGTTAACCAAGACCAATCGCATCTACCGCATCTTCGAGCAAGGCAAGAAGTCTGTGACTCCACCCAAATTCATCAGCCCCACCTCACAATTGGTCATCACCTTCAGCCTCATCTCAGTGCAGATTGTGGCCGTAATCATCTGGCTGGGGGTCCAGCCCCCGCACAGCATCATTGACTTTGAAGAGCAGCGCACGCCCAACCCTGAGTTTGCTCAGGGAGTGTTGAAGTGCGACATGTCTGACCTGTCCATCATCTCTTGTCTCAGCTACAGCATCATCTTGATGGTCACTTGCACGGTCTATGCCATCAAGGCCCGAGGCGTCCCCGAGAACTTCAATGAGGCCAAGCCCATTGGTTTCACCATGTACACCACCTGCATCGTCTGGCTGGCCTTTGTGCCCATCTTCTTTGGCACATCACAGTCAGCAGAGAAGGTGGGAGCAACTGGTCAAGGAACCTCTAGTAGGGAGAGCAGTGATGGGTGGAGTAGAAAATAAGGGACAAGCTAGATGACTTACAGAGAAGGTCTGTGTGACTTTCTAAATGACTAGGAAGCAGTTACAGAAACCTGCCTGGTTCCTCAAGAGAGAGAAGGCTCCTTAAGCCTTTTCTCTTTTGCTGTTTGTCCAATCGAAATGGTCCTACCTAAGCTGCTTTCTTCTCCTCAGAGAAAGACACAGGAACCACGTATCCTTCCCCCAGTGCTATTAAAGCAGTTTGGGTACATAGGAGACCGAACTGCCTGAACTGAAGCTTTGTAAAGGCCTTGCTGAAAAATTGCCTTCCTCAATTCTTCTGAGGCAATCCTGTGTCTCAACACATATGCCTTTCCTTGGTCTTGTGAGGGCCATAATCCTCAACCCGTGCAGTTTTCCCTTCCAGTTGTAGTTCTCCATCCTTGCTGACAACAATGCCCAAAGTCCCTTCCACGGTGGCCACATGTCCTCTTTCAGGAAAGGCAGTCCTCCATTTGAAAGGCTGTGTACTCCAAGTCTGATTTAAAAATTAAAAGACTCATAGGAGGGATGGACTGTGAAGTTCCCCATCCATAGTCAGCGCCATCTGGATAGCAGCGTCAGAAGGCATACAGGAAACCTGGCCCTAGTCTTCCCCACATGCATGAGATATACTGTAATTCTGATTTTGTATCTGTACATATAAATCAATATATGCAATTTTGTGCAAATCTCCGTAAATGTTTATACTCCCACAAATCCAGCACAGATGATTATAAGGTTTGAGATGTCCCCTTCATGTGTTCCAAAGAGCAATGGTAAAAGACAGATAGTTTCTGAAAAATGGATTGAAGCTCCACCAAAAAAAAAAAGATCAGATCAAACATTT